TAAACAATTTGACTATTTTATTTATTTTAAACAATTTGATTATTTTATTTTATTTATTTAAACAATTTGACTATTTTATTTATTTTGAACAATTTGACTATTTTATTTATTTTAAACTATTTGACTATTTTATTTATTTTAAACTATTTGACTATTTTATTTATTTTAAACAATTTGACTATTTTATTTATTTAAACAATTTGACTATTTTATTTATTTTAAACAATTTGACTATTTTATTTATTTTGAACAATTTGACTATTTTATTTATTTTGAACAATTTGACTATTTTATTTATTTAAACAATTTGACTATTTTATTTATTTTAAACAATTTGACTATTTATTTATTTTAAACTATTTGACTATTTTATTTATTTTGAACAATTTGACTATTTTATTTATTTTGTACAATTTGACTTATTTTATTTATTTTAATTAAACAATTTGACTATTTTTTTATTTTAAACAATTTGACTATTTTATTTATTTTAAACTATTTGACTATTTTATTTTTAAACAATTTGACTATTTTATTTATTTTAAACTATTTGACTATTTTATTTATTTATTTTAACAATTTGACTATTTTATTTATTTTAAACAATTTGACTATTTTATTTATTTAAAACATTTGACTATTTTATTTATTTTAAACAATTTGACTATTTTATTTATTTTAAAAAATTTGACTATTTTATTTATTTTAAACAATTTGACTATTTTATTTATTTTAAAAACATTTGACTATTTTATTTATTTTAAACAATTTGACTATTTTATTTATTTTAACAATTTGACTATTTTATTTATTTTAAACAATTTGACTATTTTATTTATTTTAAACAATTTGACTATTTTATTTATTTTAAACATTTGACTATTTTTTATTTTAAACATTTGACTATTTTATTTATTTTAACAATTTGACTATTTTATTTATTTTAAACAATTTGACTATTTTATTTATTTTAAACAATTTGACTATTTTATTTATTTTAAACTATTGACTATTTTATTTATTTTAACTATTTGACTATTTTATTTATTTTAAACAATTTGACTATTTTATTTATTTTAACAATTTGACTATTTTATTTATTTTAAACAATTTGACTATTTTATTTATTTTAACAATTTGACTATTTTATTTATTTTAAACAATTTGACTATTTTATTTATTTTAAACAATTTGACTATTTTATTTATTTTAAACAATTTGACTATTTTATTTATTTTAAACAATTTGACTATTTTATTTATTTTAAACAATTTGACTATTTTATTTATTTTAAACAATTTGACTATTTTATTTATTTTAAACATTTGACTATTTTATTTATTTTAAACAATTTGACTATTTTATTTATTTTAAACAATTTGACTATTTTATTTATTTTAAACAATTTGACTATTTTATTTATTTTAAACAATTTGACTATTTTTTATTTTAAACAATTTGACTATTTTATTTATTTTAAACAATTTGACTATTTTATTTATTTTAAACAATTTGACTATTTTATTTATTTTAAACAATTTGACTATTTTATTTATTTTAAACAATTTGACTATTTTATTTATTTTAAACAATTTGACTATTTTATTTATTTTAAACAATTTGACTATTTTATTTATTTTAAACAATTTGACTATTTTATTTATTTTAAACAATTTGACTATTTTATTTATTTTAACAATTTGACTATTTTATTTATTTTAAACAATTTGACTATTTTATTTATTTTAAACAATTTGACTATTTTATTTATTTTAAACAATTTGACTATTTTATTTATTTTAAACAATTTGACTATTTTATTTATTTTAAACAATTTGACTATTTTATTTATTTTAAACAATTTGACTATTTTATTTATTTTAAACAATTTGACTATTTTATTTATTTTAAACAATTTGACTATTTTATTTATTTTAAACAATTTGACTATTTTATTTATTTTAAACAATTTGACTATTTTATTTATTTTAAACAATTTGACTATTTTATTTATTTTAAACAATTTGACTATTTTATTTATTTTAAACAATTTGACTATTTTATTTATTTTAAACAATTTGACTATTTTATTTATTTTAAACAATTTGACTATTTTATTTATTTTAAACTATTTGACTATTTTATTTATTTTAAACAATTTGACTATTTTATTTATTTTAAACAATTTGACTATTTTATTTATTTTAAACAATTTGACTATTTTATTTATTTTAACAATTTGACTATTTTATTTATTTTAAACTATTTGACTATTTTATTTATTTTAAACTATTTGACTATTTTATTTATTTTAAACATTTGACTATTTTATTTATTTTAAACAATTTGACTATTTTATTTATTTTAAACAATTTGACTATTTTATTTATTTTAAACAATTTGACTATTTTATTTATTTTAAACAATTTGACTATTTTATTTATTTTAAACAATTTGACTATTTTATTTATTTTAAACAATTTGACTATTTTATTTATTTTAAACAATTTGACTATTTTATTTATTTTAACAATTTGACTATTTTATTTATTTTAAACAATTTGACTATTTTATTTATTTTAAACAATTTGACTATTTTATTTATTTTAAACAATTTGACTATTTTATTTATTTTAAACAATTTGACTATTTTATTTATTTTAAACATTTGACTATTTTATTTATTTTAAACTATTTGACTATTTTATTTATTTTAAACAATTTGACTATTTTATTTATTTTAAACAATTTGACTATTTTATTTATTTTAAACTATTTGACTATTTTATTTATTTTAAACTATTTGACTATTTTATTTATTTTAAACTATTTGACTATTTTATTTATTTTAAACTATTTGACTATTTTATTTATTTTAAACAATTTGACTATTTTATTTATTTTAACAATTTGACTATTTTATTTATTTTAAACAATTTGACTATTTTATTTATTTTAAACTATTTGACTATTTTATTTATTTTAAACAATTTGACTATTTTATTTATTTTAAACAATTTGACTATTTTATTTATTTTAAACTATTTGACTATTTTATTTATTTTAAACAATTTGACTATTTTATTTATTTTAAACAATTTGACTATTTTATTTATTTTAAACAATTTGACTATTTTATTTATTTTAAACAATTTGACTATTTTATTTATTTTAAACAATTTGACTATTTTATTTATTTTAAACAATTTGACTATTTTATTTATTTTAAACAATTTGACTATTTTATTTATTTTGAACAATTTGACTATTTTATTTATTTTGAACAATTTGACTATTTTATTTATTTTAAACAATTTGACTATTTTATTTATTTTAAACAATTTGACTATTTTATTTATTTTAAACAATTTGACTATTTTATTTATTTTAAACAATTTGACTATTTTATTTATTTTAAACAATTTGACTATTTTATTTATTTTAAACAATTTGACTATTTTATTTATTTTAAACAATTTGACTATTTTATTTATTTTAAACAATTTGACTATTTTATTTATTTTAAACAATTTGACTATTTTATTTATTTTAAACAATTTGACTATTTTATTTTAAACTATTTGACTATTTTATTTATTTTAAACTATTTGACTATTTTATTTAATTTAAACCATTATTTTATTTAAACCATTATTTTATTTTATTTAAACAATTTCTAACAATTTACATTTTCAGATTAAAAAATATTTTTATACAGCAATATTTTAATATTTTTAAACCATTTACAATCTTTTCAGACAGTTTAAAACATTTTCAAATTATTTAAAGCATGTTCTGATTATTATATTTAATTATTTTCAATTTTTAATTTTTCAAAACATTTTTATTTCCAATAAATTTTTAATTTTTCTAACTATTTTTAATTATTTTTAATCTATTTTTAATTTTTCTAACTATATTTTCAATTAACTTTTAATTTTTCAAACTGCATTTAATTATTTTTAATTACTATTGTTTAATTTATATTTTTGTACAATTTTTAAAAATTTCGAGATATGAGATAGTTTAAATCAATTTATATTTTCTGACAATTTTTAAACAATTTCAGACAACTTACTATATTATCTAATAATTTTTAGACAATTTTTAAATATTTTTTGACAATTTACTGTCTTACCCGACTTGCCAATTTTAGGGATGATTTTTTGTAATTAAACCACTTTTTTTCGTAAACATACAATAATTTAGGGATGTTAATTAACAAAATAAAACTTTGCCCACACAAAGTTTTATTAACACAGATCTTTACTAAAAGATCTGCTAATCTAATCTAGGACAAATTAAAACTCTGTTAAGACTAATTGTATACTTTTCTTGATTTTTATGTTTGAAAATATTTGTTTACGTTAAATTTTATTTACAGATTTAAGAAATCTGCAATATACATAATGTGACTTATTAAAACATTGCTCATGTATAATTCATTTTTTAATTACATTATTCTAACTGTTATTTCGATATTAATTTTTACGCTATAACCATAGATATAGCTCCTTGACTGTTTCATGAGTACCAAAAAGAGTCGCTTGAAGATTGTTGGCGCCACTTGCACACTCTGCAGTTGCACATCTTCACATATATCTATGCTTCATGGCGGAAAGAGCCGTCAAAAAATTCATTCTTTTCGAATTTATCGGACATTACATCGGAGCACCAAAAATAACGTGGAGCCTTTTCCAGGAGAGCACCTGATTATTCAGGTGAGTAGTACTTGTGCAAATTATATTTCGTGTTCGGATTTACGACTACATTTTGTGGTTAACAGTTAATTGTGCACGGTTTAATTCGGATTTATTACATAATTAAAATTATACTCCATTTTGCAAAATTACTTTCTATTTGACTCAATTGCTTTTGATTCTGCTTTCTTTTTTCATTAAGATTTTTTTGTATTACTTGCGAATAGTTTAGGTATCATTAAACAATCCAATTTCTTGAAGGTAATTGGTGGCATCACATTTCTGACATCTTAATGGTTAATGGAGCCTTCAAGGACGTCAGCCATCAGACAATCAAGGTATGATAAAATGCATTTACAATACATTTTTATTGAATTATTTTAATACTTCTATAATCAACTTGCAATTATGTTGACGTTCTTTTAAACCTTTTACAGATTTGAATGAATTTGAATGAAAGCAGTGCCATAAACATTTTATTTATATAAAAAAAATTCAATACTTATTGATTAACTCTATTTCAACTGTTTCTGTGCATTTCATGATTCAAGTGATTACTTGCATGGTAGCATTGGTAGGGGTTAATAGGCATCCGTAGTTCTAGTTTAATTAACACTAACTAATACTAACAAAGTAATCATCTATTCTATTATTAATCAAGAATGTAATCATTTGAATCATTTAAAATAATACAATATTTAATTAACATGCATTACACTCTTAACTACTGCTTTCAATTCATAAATTCGTTTTATGTGCGAGTTCTAAACCGTTGCAACTGCATTATTCAATTTTATTCGGATGAAGTCATATCTTCAATACACATACGAAGTCCAAAAAAGTGCAGGAATTGGAATTATACAAGTATTGTATGAAAACTAAGTATATAATGAAATAATTTATCAAATATTGATACACAATTATGTATCCAACCAAGTAACAATACTCTTTTTTTTTCAGATTCTTCTAATTCAATTATCACTGATTCTTCTGAAGAAGTTCCACATTTACATCCTTCTCTAAAAGATATATTCTAACGTTTTGTCTTCTATTTCAGATTCAATTTTGCACCACCGAACCACCAGTCCTCATCGCCTTCAATCCATCAAACAGTAAGCACTTATCGAGTATCTATCAGGCAGTCTGTACCATTTACCAAACATTTTAAGCAATGCATTCTAATCTTTCGTTTTTTTATTTCAGATTCAATTCTCCTGCACCACCGAACCACCTGTCCTCATCGCCTTCAATCCATCAAACAGTAAGCACTTATCGAGTATCTATCAGGCAGTCTGTATCATTTACCAAACATTTTAAAAGATGCATTCTAATCTTTTGTTTTTTTTATTTCAGATTCAATTCTTCTGCACCACCGAACCACCAGCCCTCATCGCCTTCAATCCATCAAACAGTAAGCACTTATCGAGTATCTATCAGGCAGCCTGTATCATTTACCAAACATTTTAAAAGATGCATTCTAATCTTTTGTTTTTTTATTTCAGATTCAATTCTCCTGCACCACCGAACCACCAGCCCTCATCGCCTTAAATCCATCAAACAGTAAGCACTTATCGAGTATCTATCAGGCAGCCTGTATCATTTACCAAACATTTTAAAAGATGCATTCTAATCTTTCGTTTTTTTATTTCAGATTCAATTCTCCTGCACCACCGAACCACCAGCCCTCATCGCCTTCAATCCATCAAACAGTAAGCACTTATCGAGTATCTATCAGGCAGCCTGTATCATTTACCAAACATTTTAAAAGATGCATTCTAATCTTTCGTTTTTTTATTTCAGATTCAATTCTCCTGCACCACCGAACCACCAGCCCTCATCGCCTTCAATCCATCAAACAGTAAGCACTTATCGAGTATCTATCAGGCAGTCTGTACCATTTACCAAACATTTTAAAAGATGCATTCTAATCTTTTGTTTTTTTATTTCAGATTCAATTCTCCTGCACCACCGAACCACCAGCCCTCATCGCCTTCAATCCATCAAACAGTAAGCACTTATCGAGTATCTATCAGGCAGTCTGTATCATTTACCAAACATTTTAAAAGATGCATTCTAATCTTTCGTTTTTTTATTTCAGATTCAATTCTCCTGCACCACCGAACCACCAGCCCTCATCGCCTTCAATCCATCAAACAGTAAGCACTTATCGAGTATCTATCAGGCAGTCTGTATCATTTACCAAACATTTTAAAAGATGCATTCTAATCTTTCGTTTTTTTATTTCAGATTCAATTCTCCTGCACCACCGAACCACCAGCCCTCATCGCCTTCAATCCATCAAACAGTAAGCACTTATCGAGTATCTATCAGGCAGTCTGTATCATTTACCAAACATTTTAAAAGATGCATTCTAATCTTTCGTTTTTTTATTTCAGATTCAATTCTCCTGCACCACCGAACCACCAGCCCTCATCGCCTTCAATCCATCAAACAGTAAGCACTTATCGAGTATCTATCAGGCAGTCTGTATCATTTACCAAACATTTTAAAAGATGCATTCTAATCTTTCGTTTTTTTATTTCAGATTCAATTCTCCTGCACCACCGAACCACCTGTCCTCATCGCCTTCAATCCATCAAACAGTAAGCACTTATCGAGTATCTATCAGGCAGTCTGTATCATTTACCAAACATTTTAAAAGATGCATTCTAATCTTTCGTTTTTTTATTTCAGATTCAATTCTCCTGCACCACCGAACCACCAGCCCTCATCGCCTTAAATCCATCAAACAGTAAGCATTTATCGAGTATCTATCAGGCAGTCTGTACCATTTACCAAACATTTTAAAAGATGCATTCTAATCTTTCGTTTTTTTATTTCAGATTCAATTATCCACTTCTGAATCAATCGACTCTAATCAGACTGTAAGCACTCATGAAGGATCAGTCGACAATCAACTGCTTGGGTTTTGGAACACTAATTCTTATAAATTTGCACAAGTGGTTCTTTTTGTAACTGTTTAGTCTTGCATGCATGTTCTGACCAGTAGTCTCACTAACTCAATAACAATACTAACATTTTAATAACGTAGTTTGATCAGTTATAATAAAAACCACTTGTTGCAGTTTACTTAGGAACACTTAGTGAAACGGCTCAGAAGAAAACACTTGGTGAGTTACATTTTTATAATGTATTATGGTAGTCTGAATTATTACTAAATAAATGCTTTTATTCACAGGGTAAGCAATGATTGCTTCAGGATGCTTACACACGTGCCTGCATTGGACCTATCTTGCTGTCAGAAACAACATTAACTCAATGGTGTTCTTAGAGGAGATACGTGCTAATGTGTTAGCATTGGAAAGAGCAGAAATTACTTGTGTGTTCAATCAAGGGTTATGACTTGAATACTTGCAATGTATTCATCTATCTATCAAATAAATACATTGTTGTATTAGTTCAATTTGTTGTTTTAATTTCCATTAATTATTTACTTATAAAATAATTTAATTATATTACATAAATATTTAAAACTATTTTAATGTTATAGGTATGATAAAGGAATATCATCTGTCAGATCTGATAGATCAAGACAATGTGAAGTGAACAGCAACCGAATGGCTCCATTGTGAAAACTGCATGTACAGAAGTGCAAACAAATATAAGTATTAGAATATTTTTATACTTATAATTAAGAATTCATCAGTTTTATAGACGAATTTGACATAACTTCAGGCTTTCCTCTGACTTTTCCTCGAATGTCTTGGATTTTGCTCGAATGGCCTGCGGCCTGGTCTATACTTGTATACCCTGGTCTCTGCACTTGTATAGCCCCTGGTCTCTGCACTTGTATAGCCCCTGGTCTCTGCACTTGTATAGCCCCTGGTCTCTGCATTTGTATAGCCCCTGGTCTCTGTACTTGTATAGCCCCTTGTCTCTGTACTTGTATAGCCCCTTGTCTCTGTACTTGTATAGCCCCTTGTCTCTGTACTTGTATAGCCCCTTGTCTCTGTACTTGTATAGCCCCTTGTCTCTGTACTTGTATAGCCCCTTGTCTCTGTACTTGTATAGCCCCTTGTCTCTGTACTTGTATAGCCCCTTGTCTCTGTACTTGTATAGCCCCTTGTCTCTGTACTTGTATAGCCCCTTGTCTCTGTACTTGTATAGCCCCTTGTCTCTGTACTTGTATAGCCCCTTGTCTCTTAGGCCCCTGCATTTTCCCTCCTATGGCTTCTTGCCCCTTGATTTGTATTCATGTAAATTGTTGACTAATGTTTTGTTCAAATAGTTTTATATTTAGTTTATAGTATTTTAATTGCTGCACAATATTGTTTTATCACAATATTAATAAATCTTTCTTATAGGTTGTATCGAATTGCTAACTTGACTAGTACTGCTGATCGTGCTGTCCCAAAACACTCGTCAAGATTCTACTATGTGTTGCATTGAGAAGCCAATGTCAAGAACCTAAATGTTTGTAATACATTTATCTAAATATTGAATACAATTATTGTTAACCTTCTAAATTTGTGGTTTTATTCATACCATTAATGTTTTCTTTCATTGTGAGTCTTTAGGCGCTCGATCATTTGCTACAGATACAAACATATTAACTCAATTGCTCATGTAATTTTTTTTTTATTCACCACTCACTGAATTACATAAATATTTATGTCTTTGCATTCTATAGGTAACATGGGAGAAATTCATGTATCAAATCTGAGGAATTAAGACCAGAGTGAAGTGACCGGCAACCGATGAACCTCATTGTCATGTTTGGGTGTCTTAGACTTCTGGCCTCTGATGACTTCGATGTCTTTTGTAATTAGATACTTCAAGACAAAGTGAAGTGAACAACAACCGATTGGCTTTCAATATTTATATATATTGAGTATATATTTAAGAATTAGTTAATTTACAAATTTACAATTAGAATTAATTATTTAACATATTGACTCGTTTAATCATGTAATTTTTTTAATCATTATTTACTAAACCATAGATTTTTACTCAATATAAACATGTCAAAAGCTCACATTTTCCTTTCATTATTTAATGTCTAAGTCATGATTTGAATTTTTACATGTTTATATAATAGTAGTAATCATAATTAATAATAATAATGTTTATAATAGTAGCAATTGTAATTAATCTTTGTAATAAGTAAATATTATTAATTATAAATGCTGTTCTATTGTAGTTAGAGTAAGAGTATGTTATAATAATATAATTATATTTGTAATGTAACAATCTAACTTATATATAAATTTGTGTAATGCCATCAAATAAAATTATTGAACTTTAACTGTAAGTGTTTAATTTAATTTAATTTTTATCAATTTCAGTGATATGTAATTGAACTTGTGTATACTTGCTAATTTATTATCAACTATTAATATTCGAGTCAATTTAAATTAAGCAAATTTAAAGTTCAGTTTAGAAATCCACGAATTAAGTAAAAAGCCATGGATATATATGCATGAGTTTTTAGCATGAAACATTGAAGGAAAAAATTTGTTTTTCACACGTTTAATTTGAGTGAAAATCCATGACTTTAAACAGTTCGAAGTGGAAAATATTAATATTTTATAAGTTTAGTTTGAAATTAGCTACTAATATGTTGAAATTATTGTATTATACAATGCTAATAAAGTTATTGTAATTATAATATCTTTTAATTGATATTTCATGTTTTTAATTAGCTATATACTTTAGTTAATATGAGCACTCACTTTATTAGATTGTCCTTGCAATTTTACTTAGAATTATTTAATGGCTCAAAGACTAATTATTTATTTCAACAACTCTGTGACAAACAGATTAATCAATTAGTTTAATTTAATTAATAAGTATAACTAGTGTTAGTTAGTTTTACTTAACTAAGAAAAATATATGTATATATGTATTTTTTTAACTTTAATAAATATGAGCAATTTATTAATTTAATTACTTTATTATTTTATTACTTTATTATAAAGGCTAAGATTGTGTTTGCAATTTTGCTCATAATTAAATTAATTATTTGCACAAAGATTTATTTCAACTGCTCTATTGCAATTAGATAAATTAATCAGTGTATTTTAATTGATATGTATAACACGTATCAGTTTTACTTAACTTAGAAAAAATATTTCCTTAGATCTTACTATTTTTTTCTTTTCTTATATACCGTGTAACTTTAAGAAAAATGAGCACTTTAATTAATTTAGACTGCATAATGATTAGTTCATATTAATTAATACCTATAACTTATATTAATTATTTTTGCTTCTAAACTTTTAAAAAAATACGTGTTAAAGACTTAGAATTTTTTTTTCTCTGTTATCAATTTTTTTTTCATTTAATTCAACATATTTATTACCTTATTTAAAATCCCGGTTGCTAAGGGATTTTTTTAACCCCCTGGGGTTCTGCGGTTCCCTAACCATAGAACCCTGGTTTAAGGTAACCAGAACCCCGAACGTCAGGTAACCGGAATTCGGTAAACCCTGACGCACGGGATCGGGGTCGGATTAGCTACCCTACAATTTTACAATTAACTCGCTTACCTCGATTTTTTATTTTTTACCTTACCTGCGTCTCGAACCTGCTACCATATCCTTCCAATCTTCTATCCCATTCACTCCTCTTAGCCCGCTACTCCATGCTGATCACACCGAAACACCGCCGCAAACTGGCTTATGTAGACTCGATATAGATAAGCCATAAAATAATTCAACCGGCGACGATTTAACAAGTCAAAAGCACGAAAAAAAGCCGAGTTCGTCACCGGTTGTGTGGCGTAACGGTTAGCGTGATGGCTTTGTACCGCAAAGGTAACGAGTTCGATCCCAGGATCGGACGGGAAAAAAAGTTCGTCGTGTTGGCCGGTATACCATGCAAGCGTGCCGGACGTTACGTTGATGTAATTAAGAAAAGCTCCGTGTAGGTGAAGGGGTGAATGAAGAAAACCTTCCCTGCCTCGGGCACCCTCCCCAGGCATTGCGACCTGGCGGAGGGTGCCCTAGCGGATTTCTTCACTTTATTTACTTAACTAGACGGCGGGGGGTCGGGAGGCCCCCCCACGCGGGCGCGGAACCGGTCAATCAAAAACCAAGCCAGCCAGCCAGCCAGCCCCCGAATTCAATGCCACGCGCGCGCGCGCGCGCTTAGGGTACAGTATGTACGTACGTAAGGGTACAGTATGTACATTTTTTTTAAAAATGTACTAGTACGCGTACATTTTTAAAAATGTACGCGTACTGTATTAAAAATGTACGCGTACTGTACATTTTTAAAAATGTACGCGTACTGTATTAAAAATGTACGCGTACTGTACATTTTTAAAAATGTACGCGTACTGTACATTTTTATAGTACGCGTACATTTTTAATACAGTACGCGTACATTTTTAAAAATGTACAGTACGCGTACATTTTTAATACAGTACGCGTACATTTTTAAAAATGTACGCGTACTAGTACATTTTTAAAAAAAATGTACATACTGTACCCTTACGTACGTACATACTGTACCCTAAGCGCGCGCGCGCGCGCGTGGCATTGAATTCGGGGGCTGGCTGGCTGGCTGGCTTGGTTTTTGATTGACCGGTTCCGCGCCCGCGTGGGGGGGCCTCCCGACCCCCCGCCGTCTAGTTAAGTAAATAAAGTGAAGAAATCCGCTAGGGCACCCTCCGCCAGGTCGCAATGCCTGGGGAGGGTGCCCGAGGCAGGGAAGGTTTTCTTCATTCACCCCTTCACCTACACGGAGCTTTTCTTAATTACATCAACGTAACGTCCGGCACGCTTGCATGGTATACCGGCCAACACGACGAACTTTTTTTCCCGTCCGATCCTGGGATCGAACTCGTTACCTTTGCGGTACAAAGCCATCACGCTAACCGTTACGCCACACAACCGGTGACGAACTCGGCTTTTTTTCGTGCTTTTGACTTGTTAAATCGTCGCCGGTTGAATTATTTTATGGCTTATCTATATCGAGTCTACATAAGCCAGTTTGCGGCGGTGTTTCGGTGTGATCAGCATGGAGTAGCGGGCTAAGAGGAGTGAATGGGATAGAAGATTGGAAGGATATGGTAGCAGGTTCGAGACGCAGGTAAGGTAAAAAATAAAAAATCGAGGTAAGCGAGTTAATTGTAAAATTGTAGGGTAGCTAATCCGACCCCGATCCCGTGCGTCAGGGTTTACCGAATTCCGGTTACCTGACGTTCGGGGTTCTGGTTACCTTAAACCAGGGTTCTATGGTTAGGGAACCGCAGAACCCCAGGGGGTTAAAAAAATCCCTTAGCAACCGGGATTTTAAATAAGGTAATAAATATGTTGAATTAAATGAAAAAAAAATTGATAACAGAGAAAAAAAAATTCTAAGTCTTTAACACGTATTTTTTTAAAAGTTTAGAAGCAAAAATAATTAATATAAGTTATAGGTATTAATTAATATGAACTAATCATTATGCAGTCTAAATTAATTAAAGTGCTCATTTTTCTTAAAGTTACACGGTATATAAGAAAAGAAAAAAATAGTAAGATCTAAGGAAATATTTTTTCTAAGTTAAGTAAAACTGATACGTGTTATACATATCAATTAAAATACACTGATTAATTTATCTAATTGCAATAGAGCAGTTGAAATAAATCTTTGTGCAAATAATTAATTTAATTATGAGCAAAATTGCAAACACAATCTTAGCCTTTATAATAAAGTAATAAAATAATAAAGTAATTAAATTAATAAATTGCTCATATTTATTAAAGTTAAAAAAATACATATATACATATATTTTTCTTAGTTAAGTAAAACTAACTAACACTAGTTATACTTATTAATTAAATTAAACTAATTGATTAATCTGTTTGTCACAGAGTTGTTGAAATAAATAATTAGTCTTTGAGCCATTAAATAATTCTAAGTAAAATTGCAAGGACAATCTAATAAAGTGAGTGCTCATATTAACTAAAGTATATAGCTAATTAAAAACATGAAATATCAATTAAAAGATATTATAATTACAATAACTTTATTAGCATTGTATAATACAATAATTTCAACATATTAGTAGCTAATTTCAAACTAAACTTATAAAATATTAATATTTTCCACTTCGAACTGTTTAAAGTCATGGATTTTCACTCAAATTAAACGTGTGAAAAACAAATTTTTTCCTTCAATGTTTCATGCTAAAAACTCATGCATATATATCCATGGCTTTTTACTTAATTCGTGGATTTCTAAACTGAACTTTAAATTTGCTTAATTTAAATTGACTCGAATATTAATAGTTGATAATAAATTAGCAAGTATACACAAGTTCAATTACATATCACTGAAATTGATAAAAATTAAATTAAATTAAACACTTACAGTTAAAGTTCAATAATTTTATTTGATGGCATTACACAAATTTATATATAAGTTAGATTGTTACATTACAAATATAATTATATTATTATAACATACTCTTACTCTAACTACAATAGAACAGCATTTATAATTAATAATATTTACTTATTACAAAGATTAATTACAATTGCTACTATTATAAACATTATTATTATTAATTATGATTACTACTATTATATAAACATGTAAAAATTCAAATCATGACTTAGACATTAAATAATGAAAGGAAAATGTGAGCTTTTGACATGTTTATATTGAGTAAAAATCTATGGTTTAGTAAATAATGATTAAAAAAATTACATGATTAAACGAGTCAATATGTTAAATAATTAATTCTAATTGTAAATTTGTAAATTAACTAATTCTTAAATATATACTCAATATATATAAATATTGAAAGCCAATCGGTTGTTGTTCACTTCACTTTGTCTTGAAGTATCTAATTACAAAAGACATCGAAGTCATCAGAGGCCAGAAGTCTAAGACACCCAAACATGACAATGAGGTTCATCGGTTGCCGGTCACTTCACTCTGGTCTTAATTCCTCAGATTTGATACATGAATTTCTCCCATGTTACCTATAGAATGCAAAGACATAAATATTTATGTAATTCAGTGAGTGGTGAATAAAAAAAAAATTACATGAGCAATTGAGTTAATATGTTTGTATCTGTAGCAAATGATCGAGCGCCTAAAGACTCACAATGAAAGAAAACATTAATGGTATGAATAAAACCACAAATTTAGAAGGTTAACAATAATTGTATTCAATATTTAGATAAATGTATTACAAACATTTAGGTTCTTGACATTGGCTTCTCAATGCAACACATAGTAGAATCTTGACGAGTGTTTTGGGACAGCACGATCAGCAGTACTAGTCAAGTTAGCAATTCGATACAACCTATAAGAAAGATTTATTAATATTGTGATAAAACAATATTGTGCAGCAATTAAAATACTATAAACTAAATATAAAACTATTTGAACAAAACATTAGTCAACAATTTACATGAATACAAATCAAGGGGCAAGAAGCCATAGGAGGGAAAATGCAGGGGCCTAAGAGACAAGGGCTATATACAGAGAGACAGGGCTATACAAGTACAGAGACAAGGGGCTATACAAGTACAGAGACAAGGGGCTATACAAGTACAGAGACAAGGCACGGGGCTATCAAAAGTACAAG